TGATTGAGTCCATCGATGCTGCCACTTGGCCAATCCATCTCGCTGGGGGTCTTCCTCTTTTTCTCTGACCTTACCAAACATGATATCCTTCTTCAGCGACTGGTCCCTCCTGACAATATGTCTGAAGTATGAGAGACGAAGTTTGACCATCTTGGCCTCTAAGGAACACTCTGGCTGCACTTCTTCCAAAACGGATCTATTGGTTCTTTTGGCAGTCCATGGCACTTTCAGTATTCTCCTTCAACACCATAACTCAAAAGCATCAGTTCTTCTACAGTCTTCCTTATTCACTGTCCAGCTTTCACATGCATATGAGGTTATTGAAAATACCATGGCTTGGGTCAGGCGCACCTTAGTCCTCAAGCTGACATGTTTGCTCTTCAACACTTTAAAAAGGTCTTGTGCAGCGGATTTGCCTAATGCAATATATCGTTTGATTTCTTGACTGCTGCTTCTGTGAGTGTTGATAGTTGACCCAAGAAGAATGAAGTCCTTGACAACTTCAATCTTTTCTTCGTTGATAAGAATGTTGTTTATTGGTCCAGTATGAGGATTTTTGTTTTCTTTACATTGAGATGTAATCCATACCGAAGGCTATGGGGGGATTAGATGAGTTTAAAAGCAGGAGAAACACTTACAGGGCAGGCCTGGCTATAGTGAGTGCTCGGTGAATGAAAGGACATTGTCATCATCACCATTAACTACACAGTTCTAGGGACCCCAGACCCACAGAGAAAGGCAGAGGGGCCAGAGAGAGGTGAAAGTCTGCCCACATCTCCTCTTTGGGGGCAATCTATCATCCAAGCTTTGGGCCCTTTCTCCTCTGTCTGGCAGTTTCAGCATACCTCAGGCTGTAGTAGGGTCACCCAATTCAGGAGGGGCTCAGATCTCGGTGTGGGGCCCTGCAGACCCCCATCTGCCATTTGCTATCCATGATGCCTTGGGAAAGTTGCTTAACCTCCCTGTACCTCATGTGTACTATATGGATAATATGTCCTGATTGAGAAGGTTCTGAAAGGAGAAACGAGTTGAGGCATCTTTAAGTCTTTTGTGGAAGATGTACAGCAAATGTTCTTTTAGAATGGAGGATAGTGAGACTTTGCCTCACATACTTTTGACATGTTATCAGGAGGAAACAGTCCCCGGAGAAGGATTTCATGCTTGGTAAAGCAGAGGCTTAGCGAAAAAGGGGAAGACACTCATTGAGACATGAACTAACAGTGGCTGAAACACTGCACTCAAACGTAAGAATTGTGAGGGATGCCTAGGAATGGGCAGTGTTTTCTTCTTTTTTACATAGGGTTGCTATGAGTCAGAACCAACTCAACAGCACTTACCAACACAAGCCCTTTGTGAGCTCTAGAACATCATATGGAAGTGAATTGATAATGTTATGGAAGAGGCTGGTTGAGGAGCAATAGTGCTTGGGAAGAGAAGGAGAAGCAGATGTACCAAGGAGAGGCGTGCAAACCTCAAGGGTGCTGTGAAAAGTGTGGGTCCGGTAGGAAGACCTGGTCCACTTCAGGTGTTACCACTTTATAAGAGTTACTTGAGGCAAATCACTTTGGTGCCCTTACTTTTCTCACCTGTAAAATGGGGCCACTAATAATAGCTACCAGTTACTGCATCTACTACGTGTTCAATGTGTAAGCATGCTATTAATTAGTCCTCTAGGTAAACAGTATTATCATTTCCAATTTTACGAAGGAAACTGAGTCCCAGAAAAGCAAAATCACCCACCTGAACTAGAAAGGGGTAGAGCTGGGATTTGAACTCAGGCACTCTGGTTTCAGTTAGGGATGGCAGATGCACCTTGGTAACTGTATTTCTGGACCTTGGTGCCCTGGTGCTACCCAATGTGGAGGCTCAGAGAGCTTTACTGGGGATAGGGAGGACCTCCTTTGGTCACGGCCTTAGTCTTCGGGACCCTGGCCAACACAGCAGTAGCTATGTCAGGCCTTGGATAATCTACATCGCTCATTCATTTGTGGTTTGTGTAAGCCGCCGATTACCACATGCCATTAAGTCAAATCTGACCCATTTGTGCCAGAGGGGGCTTCAAAAAAAGTTTGAAAAAATTTAATGAAAAGATCATAGAATTTTTCCACTAAATTTTAGCAGGCCCCTTACACAAATGTGTCCCTTAGGGTTTTCATGGTTGTGACCTTGTGGAAGCAGATTGCCAGAACTTTCTTCTGAGGCCCCTTTGCGAGGGTTCAGACCACCACCCTTTCAGTTAGTAGCTGAGTACTTAACCACATGCACCACCCAGGGTAGCTACTAGGCTGAATATCAGGGTATGTGTGCCCCTGCCTTTGGAAAGCTTCTATTTTCATATGAGTTAGCATAGATGCTGATCAATGTGATAGGAGACAGCAAGCAAGGTTGGTGGAAGGGATAGTCAAGGAGGGCCTCCCTGAGGAGGTGTCTTTTGAGCTGAAGGAGAAGAACAAATGGCTGTGGGACAGCACGTGCAGTGGTCCTGAGGTGGGAATCATCTTGGTGTGTGGAGAGTTGTTGTTGTTGTTGTTAAGTGTTGTCCCACTCATAGCGATCCTATATAGAGTTTCTGAGGAGTGGCTGGTGGATTTGAACCATCAACTTCGCAGTTCAAACCAATCTTGTGGTCCATTGCTTTTCCAACAGCACCACCCGAAGACTCCATGTGGAGGGTTAGTTAGTGTGTTGAGTGAGGGAGAGAGGGCCCTGAAGAGGGCAGGGAAGTTGGAGGGGAGAGAGACCAGGGCAGAAGGTTTGGATCTTATTCATTGGTCAAGTGGCGGTAGTAGTCATGGGGAAACTGAGGTAGAAGGCAGGAAAGAGACTTGCTCAAGGTTTCACATGGACTAAGGTGGACATCTGTTGGAAGAACTCAAGGGTTCTGTTGTAGCCACAGGTATAGGCATCCCAGAGAGGCCTGAAACCCACTACCCTGCCCTGGTTCTTCCCAGAGGTACAACCTCTCCTGGAGGTCCTGCATCTACTCCCTCTCTTCCAGCCTCAACCCCCTAGCCCCCACCCAGGCCTCCCCTGGGTCCCCTTCCTCAGCTTGCCAGCCAGAAGCCCCACTTCTTTCCCTCAGGGCGTTTTCAGATCCCTTTTGTTACCTTAACAATAAGTAACCCAGGTAGTTAGTTATAAACTCCACAGGAACAAGGAGCTGGTTGATAATTTATAGCAACATCTCAAATTTAAATGGAAAGTAAATAGCATGCTGTTAGCATTAAAGAAAACCCAATGGGGCGGGCGGGAGGCACTCCAGCCTCCAGTCCTCACGGCCTGGGGCACCTCACTTTCTCCCCAGCCCCTTCTCGCTGCACCTGGACCCCTCTCCCTGGCTGCTCGCCTCTGCTCTCTGACCCTCCAGGCTTTCTCTCCATCTCCCCTGCCCTGTGTCTCCCTTGGCTTTCTAGAAGAACCCAGAGCCCTACTTGTTCCCAGGGAGCACCTTGACCTCTGCTCCCCTCCTCAAGAGCTATGGATCAAGTCTCCCAACCCACCTAAGGGGCTGCTGATCAAGAAGCCCCCACAACCAGGTAAGAAAGTCCCTGGACACCCCCTGGTCCCTACCCTAGGGCCCCCAAACCCATCTGGGGCCCCCAACAGGCCCAGCCCAGCCCCACCCTGACCACGTTGCCCTTACTCTGGGGCTAGTGAAGCCTGGCTCCCTGCCCCTCCCCTTGGGCCCTGCCGCCCTTTGCCCTCCTCTTCCTGCCAAGTCAGGGGGCCCTGGCTGCCTCCCTGCCCCCTGCTCAGGCCCTCATGAGGCCTGACCAGCCCTGGGGGCACCCTGAGGCCACTGGGAAGACCCGGGCCCCCAGCCCTCCCCCACCCCAAGCTGGGATCAGGACCTTGGACAGAACAAAGACGCTCTCCTACAGAACATTTTGGAAGTCTCACCCTTAGAGCCTTCCTCCCAGTCACACCCAGTACCCCTGGGCCCCAGTCATAGGGGTTGAGAGCACCAAACAGACTATGCTGGGAGACTCAACTGATCTTAGTCTATTCTCTTGAGTCTCGGTTTCCCCTTCTGTGAAGCAGAGTGGGCGGCAGCTTCCTTACAGGGTTTACCTCAACACTAACAGAAATTACGAATGAGAAATTATAAATGAGAAACAGAACAATGCCCACCGGCGAATCGGGCACCTCAGGACACAGGGGCTGCTGGGATGGAGGCCATGGAGCCTTTCAGAGAGGAGGTCCCTGCAGCCCCCAGGTCACCCTTCCTCCCATCCCCACCCCACCCCCACCCCCATCCCATGCTGGGGAGGTTGGTTGGCCCAGGCCTCCCTGCAGACTACCATCCCTACAAGTTAATGATCACAGGCCTTATCAGAGCCTTTTGCCATTTATAAATTTATAAAACAAAAGAGAAATAATAAAGCCTGTAGGTAATTAGTAACCAGATCACCTCTGCTGAGGAGAGGGGAACCATTGAGCCCAGGACCCACCCAGTTCTCCAGGAGATGGGGAGCAGGCCAGTAGATGGGGGGACAGATGGGAAAGTCACTAATGGTGCCTGTTGTGTGTGTGTGTGTGGAGGGGGTGTTGGCGCTGAGGCAGTGCCGAAAGGGAAACAGCTGCTGCCCCCAGGCTCTATCCCCCTCAGGTAAGAAAGATCTGGGCTTTCCAGGGGGAATGCTTGAGTCCCATGGTGGCCGGGGAAGTCCCCCAAAGTCCCTGTCTAGGCCCTCAGCTGTGTTTCCTGACCCCTGAGGGTCTGGCAGGGAAGATGGGGTTTGGAAAGTAGAAATGGCCTCATGGCTAGACATTCCCACCAGCCTGAGCTTCTCCAGGCCCCTTGGAGCCTGTTCTGTGTCCTGAGGTCTGGGCTGGCTGGCTTAGAGGCCAGGAGACTCTACAGAGGGGCTGCTCCGGGGGACTAGGGGATCTGAGCTCCCCGCCACTCCCCTTCCTGGTAACCTAGGCTGTGGACTCTGGAGAGGGTCAGGAGCTGGGGTGAGCGTCATCGGACACTGGGAGTGGGGAGGGGGCCTTACTGCAGTAGGGTCTCCACCACGGCCTTCTGGTGGGCAGCCTCCTCGGGGCTGAGGTTCTCCAGCTCTTTGAGAATGGGCGCCGTGAAGTCTTCCCCATCGTCATCTGTCTCGTCCTCAGAGCCCCGTGTCTCCCCCAGACCATTGGGAAGCTCGACCAGCTCTGCTCGGCCACTGCCACGGGACTCCCCCTTGTCCAAGGACTCTTCCCCGGCCAGCAGGTAGGGTCCAGGCGCCCCCAGGGCCTGAATTAGCTCTTCTTTGCTCAGGCCCGATTCAAGCAGGGCCGCCAGGAGCTCCGTCTGCAGCTGGCTCAGTTTAGAAACCATGGCTCCCCTGCGACGGGGCCACGCGACCCAGAGACCACCAAGCTCAGGCTTCCACCACCACGTGGACTGTCCACCTGCTGGTGGCTCAGCGGGCCCAAGCCAGGCTCCTTGCACCCACTCACCCCCAAAACTTCTCTAGCTGAGCCGTGTGGGTACCCCCAGCCCCCAAACCTGGCCCCGGCGACCAGTGAATCATGGCCCCTGCCCGCTCTGTTTACATTGGAGCTGGGGAAATTCTCCAAGGTTCATATTTATCCGTGTGCTTACCAGAGACTGAACTTTGGACTTCAGACCCGCCGCACGCAAAGTGCAGGCCTCATGGCAGCTCAGAGGGACAGGGCGCCACAGCCTTCAATGGGAGGGGGCAGAGCCGGGCGGGAGGGGGGGGCAGTTCAGTGGGGACAGAAGGTGCTGGGAGTCAGGATCCTGTTATTTGGGCTAGCAGCTTTGGGTCCCACTCTGAGGACCTCATAGGGGCTCAGGCTGAGGCAGGAGAGAAAAAAAAGCACGTTCCCTTGGGAACAGAAGCAGCAGGGAAGGGGGGTGGGTTGTAACCTGCAAGAGGATAGGGCTAGGTCACGCCCACGTTGGGACTCCCCTCCCCCCCCCCAAGGCTCAACACCAGACCTACTGGTAGGAAAAGCTCCTTGACTCTTTTCAACATCTACTGTTTTCATGGGGTTCTGCTGAGTCTTTAACATGTATTGTTAATTCAATGTCTTCACTTAGCAGCTGTTGAGTAGGTTGAGGAAAGAAGAGGAAACTAAGCCTCAGAGAGGTTAAGCAACTTACACAATGTCACACAGCTAGCAAGGGGAAAGGCTTGCAGAGCCAGAGTAGAGAGGTGAGTGAGGTACTTGCCTTGGTGCCCATAATCACAAGGTTTTGTTTGGGGAGGGGGGTATTGGCTAAGGGCATAGGGCTTCCTTCTTTGGGGATCATGAAATGTTCTAAAATTGACGATGTATGTGATAGGTATACATCTCTATGAATATATTAGAAATCACTGAATTGTACACTTTAAAAGGGTAACTTTTATGGTCCATGAATTATATATAAATAAAAGATAGTCTTTTAATTCATGCAAATTTGTGTCTTGTTTATGATCTGTCCTTCCCTGTTAGAATGTCAGTTCCTAAGGGCAGTATTGTGGTCTGTTTTGTTCATTGTTTTATTTCCAGTGCTAGAATCAAAAACCAAATCCACTACCATCTAGTTGATTCCAACTCACAGTCACACTATACAACAGAGAACTGCTCCACAGCGTTGCTGAGGCTGTAAATCTTCACAGGAGCAAACAGCCTCAACTTTCTCCTCTAGAGCAGCTGCTAGGTTTGAACCACTGGTGTTGGGGTTAGCAGTCTGGTATTTAATTTATCATACCACTAGGGCTCCTTCTTGTTGTTACTGTTGTTGTTGTTAGGTGCCATCGAGTCAGTCCTGCTTCATAGTGACCCTATGCACAACAGAAGGAAACACTGCCTGCTTCTGCACCAACCTCACTTGCGATAAAGAATGTCACACTATTCCTCTTCAATTTGTCATTCCCATTGTAGTAAACCATGTGATTGTCAGATTCAAAATGCTTAAGACCTGTCCATTTTAGTTCACCACTGCCTAGGATATTGATGTTTATGCGCTCCATTTCAGTTTTTACAATTTCCAATTTTCCTAGATTCATGTCTGATTATTAATGGATGTTTACAGCTGTTTCTCTTCAGTTTGAGTTGTGCCCCATCAGCAAATGAAGGTCCTGAAGGCTCTACTCCGTTCATGTCATCACGTCAACTCTACTTTAAGGGGGCAGCTCTTCTCCAGTCATATTTTGAGTGCTTTCCCTTCTCTGGTCATATTTTGAGTGCCTTCCAATGTGAGAGGCTCGTCTTCTGGTCCTGTATCTGACACTATGCTGGTGCTGAGAGGCTCATCTTCTGGTCCTGTATCTGACGCTATGCTGGTGCTGAGAGGCTC